AAGATTGTGGTTGCCCTTTGAACGTGTTAGTTTATGTTTTTTTACCTACGAGTAGTATTGTATTCCAATAGCGTCGTGTTCTAATAGCGTCACGGCGCATGCCCATTTGTTACTGCAAGAACCGTTGTCTATTTAAAAGGTAAAACCGAACTGTTTAAACGCTTCCTAACTGATCATATGGACTTTGACTAACAAATTAAAGGCTTTGTCGGCAGTACCGGTAAAGAGTTTACCTGTGTTACCGGAAGAAAGTTTACCTTAAAATCCCGGTAATCATACGGCCTTGCCCAAAACAGTATCCTTCAGCACAGACACATTTCAGTGTATGCACGAGAAAGCTTTAAGTTACTTACATCTCGGGACAGAAAAGTTTGAACTATGCTCTGGAGCAACCATTTGTCATTCTAGTTATGCGAAAGTGCTTGAAGGTGAAGATAGACAGGAATTTATGGATTAGAGCACCGGAATGTTTTCCCACATACACTGGCGGACATGGATCATTGGAATCGGCACTCTTTGGCGCCACAGCGTAGGGCTGGAGCGGCGCCTCGGCGGTAGGCACAGGCAACATTGATAGCGCAAATTGTAGTGCATGGCGGCTCTCTTCATCCGGTTTAACCCTCGTAAACCGGCAGTTTCCTTCGAATCCAGAGCATTTTTCGAGTTCGGTTTAATAACCGTAGTTTGTACATCTTGGACTTCTACTAACCGAATTTTCACCGATAGATTTCGTTTTACGCGAGTTTCATCATTCATTTCTTTTGCTCTTATCACTATCGATGGTCTTCTGAGAACAATTTTTTCACTGTTATTTGGGACGCTAATTTTGACGCCGAAGCGGCTCCCGTAACTTTTCAACGCCGTCAGTAAATTCTGGAAATAACTTTTCAACGTGAGTAAATTCGCGGAACGTTGCAGTTTTCTCGGTTTACAGTCTTTCAGAATAATTAAAAGAGAGTGCAACAATTTCTTTTGAATTAAAAACCGGTTATGCCTGGCTAGTGAGCCATAATAACACAACATTCTGCAGCATAGTTCCGCAGTGGATTGTACGAGTGTGGCCGGCTGAATGGTAAACAGATTGAAGGTTGATGATCGAAGATGCCGCATCAATCTTTTTGCCGGATTAGTATCCATACCTTTTACTTTTTGCAATACTTCCTTAGTCTGCTTTACGCGCTTCCAGCAACGTTGTAGATTCGCAACTACCCCGTTTTGACGATAATACCATAGAATATTGGCCTTTTCATTTAGACCGGAAATTTGTGGGCGCATAGCAAATTAACTATGCGCCCTAAAATTTTGGGGTGCATCGAAGCGACCTAAAATTTATATGATTAAGTCCACAGTGCACACTCGAGTGCAGTAATAAATTTCCAGATGAAATGAACAAAATGCCAACAAATTTTTTAATTTCATTTAGACATTTTTAACAAAATAACACGAAATGCGGCTGTAACCTGAACTGAACGTGTAAAACGAATAGACTGACTGCACAAATGCCAGAAAAACATATACATCCATGTATAATACCAAATATTAGATTTTTCATTTATAACGGCACAAAACATATACAACAAAAATTAACCTGCACAATAAAAGATAACGAGTGGCTTGTTCCTGAATTATCAGCCCTTGATGATACAGAACTTTTACAATCATATTCATTCCACGTTAATTACACTTAAAATAATTGCCTGAACTCCACACCGCATTATCGGCGTTGTCGTAGATAGCCAAATTGCGGTCATCCTGAAAAACGAGCCGACGCCCTCTTCCCGCTGTCTGGCTGTCCCACACGGTTCTGCTGGAAATATCATAGATGACCAGATTCCCGTCTGTCTGGAACAAGGCTTGATCACCACGGCCGGCGGTGTTGCTGTTCCACTTTGGGCGGTCGCTGCCATCATAGATGACCAGGTTGCCATCTGACTGGAAAGTTAGCCGTCCCGCCCCTCCGCAGGACTGCACCCGGCATTCGAAATTTGTCGGAACCTTGTCACCACGGTTAAACGAGCAGAGCGCATCCGATCGGCCTGAGATTTACAAAAGGTCACATTTATTGTCGTCATAAACAGAAACGTTAAAAATTAATGCTATACACCATGATCTCATTGTATGGCACTGGTCACCACGACTGCGTACCATCAGTATCAACATTATTGTTACAGTTCAACGTCGTTTTACTATTTATTGTTTTGTTGTCAAGTTTTACTATTTGTTCGTATTAAATTTACTATCAGCTTTTAATTGTCGATATGAATTTCTATCCTGCACTCGTTTCGAAGCGGTAGGATTAGCTCGGAGTTCTTACCGGCGATCTGGCACATGATCCACAACGCTTGGACCACAAATAAAAGTACCGATTTTTTCATCATCGTCGGTTTAACGAAAAATGTATGTTTCAACAATCTAATGGGAATCCTCATTAGATTGTTGAACGGTGAACATCTCTCTGAATACGGTGTAGAGACACCACTTGGTAGTCGACCGTACATAAACAGCGTGTTTTACTGAGCAACTTCTGTTGCATCCAGTATGACAAATACAGTATATTCTGACATCATAGCACTGTCCCGCAACTATATATACAGCTGTTTCAACTTTAATCGCTAATCTCTAACAGTAATCGCTGTACTGAGAATATTACCAAGCCCATCCCATATCTGGCTAGTTCATCTAAACAGGTGCTGCACAGATACAATATCAACACTACATTAATTTAATAATAATTTACACAGTTGGGACAGAGTGCGTGTACTGGAACAGGTGCACGTAGGCTGGTAATATCGTGTTGTCGTACAACTCAGGTCGTACAAAACGACTACAGGATACCGGTAACCGGCTTGATGTAACACTCTC